TTACCGAAGCTGCACAATCATCGTCGGTAACCACGGTCACGTAGACTAAAAAAAAGGAGGGAGGTGGGAGAATGCTGAAGCGCAAGGCTGACAAAAATGGAACCAATAATCACCCTGTATGATATCCCGCCTTCACCCCGCCCCCCCCCGGCCCACACACACAAAGCATTTGTCAATCTCAAGGAACTTTAAAGGTTTAATGAGTAGCTTAGACTCACCCTCTCACTGGAATCAATTCTAATTCAAAGAAGAACAGTCTTTGTAAGACTACAATATCATAATGGCGGATTCTGTCCGTCGAGAGAGTTGTGGGCAAAAATGTGGGGGAATAGAGCGGAAGTTCGAATGTTGGGCAGGCGTAATCCGTTTAGATCGGAACTATCGTCCCTCTGCATTTGCAACTGTTGAGCTAAGAAAAACAAGAAGCTCAGAAAACTGAGAAGTATTTGAAATAAACTAGGCTTTCTAAATTTTGAATCCGTGCCTACTAATTTAGAGAACTTCCCTCACATATCAAATAAAGGCACTAAGAAGTGCGCTAGCGATGAAGCAGGATAGACCAGCATCGGACGTAAACCTAGAATGTGCTTGTCGACAGCGTAATTAGGTGGTGATTAAGGATAGGTAGAGTGACTACAGTTTACAACGGATGCTACCGGGGCGCACCAACCGGGAAAAAAAAAAAGAAGCCGGCACCAGGAACGAGCAAGCATAACGACCTAGTGAGCCGACTTAAGCGGCCAAAACAGATGATGAGGTATCGATTTGTTCTCAGTGGAAAAAAAGGGAAGGACAGACTATTCTACTACAACTGAATAGGACACGGTGAAGTAACTAGAACATATCACGTCAACCTGCGGAGGAATGAGGTCACCTAAATGAACGAAGAAAAACTGAACTGAAGAAGAAAGTAGTTAGACAATGAACGGTTTCTCGAGCAAGGATCAGCCTGAACGAGGGAGTGATGAAGAAAAGGCTATTGAGTAAGGGGATCAGCTTCAACTACTAAGATGAATGCAATTCAGTTTTACAATATAATGTAAGCTAAACCGGTCTAAACACAAGGGTGAATGTACTATTGGTGAACATGGTGGGAGCGGGAGCGGGAGCGATGGAGATAACCTCTCTCTCGCTGGCCGAGCGCACGAGCAATAGCTTGAGAATTGTAAAAAGACTGACGGTCCGCACTGGTGGCTGCCAGTGTCGACTGTGTGGGCGTGCCTTTACGTTCTGTTTGCCGACCGTCCACATTGGTTTGAAAGGTCAGACTTTTGCTGAGCATTGTTTATGCGGCCAAATACCGTTTGTGTGATAGTTTGAGCAGTGGTCTTTAGTGCTTTGAGACTCGATGTTGAATTCAGGGGCTGAGACTCGACCATTCCTCTGCCACAATCAACATTCTTGGGGTATCCCATAGGAAGAGATTGAAATAAAATGTAAAAATAAAAATACAAGGTACGAAAAAGAAACAAAAAGAAGAAAGAGTTTGTTCTAAGAGAAGATACTAAAGCAAGGGAATAGTATTTCAGATCGATATATAATGGTCAATCCTGACATGTTAATCTATGAGTTTCATTCCGGAGCATCGAAGCGGGGGGGGGGCAGTGAATCTCAGAATGCCACAAGACCGCCATTAAGACTTTTTTGCACCCAACCTAATAGCTGTCTCGATCCAGATCAGTGAATATCAATATTGCAAATGTTTGTGAAAGTAAAGCAAGCCAATATGGTTCCAGTCATGCTGAGTGATATTGCAAAGTAATGTGGGCTTATACTAGGGTTGGACCCAATGCGATCCACTCCATGTCAATGGGCCTGTGCCTTACACCACTGGAAGCCACCCGAAACCACTATCGACGGCCACACCGGTCCTGGGGAAGGCGCTATCGCTTCAGACTACCAATTGAGGAGCGAATGCCATTGGAGGCCGCTCAGCATCTCTTAGATATAGAATAAATTACAGAGTCAGGAAACCCAGTGGGTTATGAAAGAGAATAAAATAAAAAGCTTTTGCAGATTGTAATGTGATTTCGATAATTTAATTCATCTTAGGTTCTTTTCTAGCCGAAAAAGTTCCAGCAATGAGTGCTTTATTTGGAGCGTTGCTAAGCGGTGTCAAAAACCTTTTCATTGGTAATATGTTGCCAATGGAGATCGGATGTTTAGAACCGAATACTCAATACAACTGTCACAATGGTGGCACAAACCACCAGAACATAACAACCTCTATTTTTCTTTTCCGATGTCAGTGAGGGTGGTGTGTGTTGTTGTTGGAATAAAAGTGCTTGTCACTATGCCAGTTTTGTGGATATTTCCAACGACATTATATACTATGAGAAATCCATATCCAGATGCAATACATGTTCATTGTACATTGTCTGTCTATTTAAATCCCTAGATTGGTATTGTCAAAAACATCCGTCCGTGCCCTTCAAATTCGATTTTAATAGATCGCGATCTACATGATCAATATTCTGCTTTTGCTTTATGAGCTAGTACGAAGTTATCAAGGATCCCTGTAATTAAAATCTCGGGTAAGGTCTTTAGTGAAGGCACAATATTCATGCCACCTCTTTCCTTCCATCTTTGAACGTAATATATGCTCTTCTTGGATAATTTTTCTGTTGTATGGTTCCAAGAATAATTCACTTTTTTGGAGTGCATATAGGATATAGAAGACCAGACTAGTCTACAAGCTTGTCTAGTTAGTTTTCTAGAATTTCCACTTGTGACGCCTGGGGAAAAAGGGAAGTGTGGCTGAATGACTAGTTATGCTTGGCATGGCTCAACGAGGGGTTGATGCCCTCCCCACAACACTCTTCGGCAAGCAATGACGACGACCCCAGCCTGGCCACCTTCAAGACTGCAAAGTGTGTGCTCAACCAGTACTAGAACATTCATAAGGAAGACAAATCTCCAACCAGTGCTAGAATTACTGGGACCACACAGAAACATAAAATTGTGATACGAGACAAATAAAGTGATATGTAGCTCTATCAAGTTACTTAGACTAATGACACTATTTGTATTGCTGGAAGAAGGGCGGATCGAGATCCTTGATGGTGCAGCTGGTAACACGTGAGCCTTCGAAAAGAATAGTAGCGGGTTCGAAGCCATCTCAAGGTCCCAGTTCTGCGTGTATCTCAGCATTTGCACGACTGTACTTTACACCGTACTTTGTCTTGAAAAAAAGAAGAGGCAGAAGGTAAAGTAAGGATCACTCGTTCATCGTCTTGGTATTATATAACTTGTGATGATTCGACCCCCGCGCTCAAGGCCATTGAGCCTTCCATCCCTCAGGGTTCGGTGAATTGGTTCCAGATATGTCTGGGAGGATATCAACAGTGACTTGGTACATCGGTAAGCCGCCGCGAGTCATCATGAAGGCCAGATATGGATCCACTCACATCAAACAATGCTTGATGGAGCCGAATACATGACATATCTCTTAGGTATTGATCAACGCCGGGAATGTTATCCTTTGCTCACATTTCTCATGGAAGCCACCAACTCTTGCATTCCATTCGTTCTTTCGATTCCACCAATCACGAAAACACTTAAAGTTGTCCGGTTCCACCGATGCTTACAGGGCTGTTGCTTGTGGCCCCATGGAGATTACAGCTTCATCAGTTTTTAAAGTATTTTCTTAATTGTATTCTTTGACTAAGACATTACGGAGAGCAACTTAGGCTTAGCTTTAGACTTAGAGTTAGGCTTAGGCTTGGCTTTGAGTTTAGGTTTAGGCTTAGACTTGAAAAATGATGTGATCACAACTCTCCGCTAGTATCTGGTGTTCTTCGTCGACATATGTCGTTGAATGATGGGCGAATCTCCCTGTTATCCGGAGATAATCGAGCTTGGGCTATTCACGGGGATTGGAGGTAGCGACATAGGCCTATGTGGACATGGTTGTTTCATAGTTCTCAGGGAGAAGGAGAAGCCCGATGGAAGCTACTCGGGTTTGAACCAGTACTGCGATTGCGATAACCGTAATCACTACCACTAAGCTAGCCATTCCTTTGTGTGGACAGTGACATCTATCACCCACACCCGACGATACATGAAATTTGATCTCTCACTTACTTGAAATAAACGTCGTGGGCATCACGGTAATGCTGTGAAATTATGTAATATGTGGCGCAAATTACGATAAATTACGGTCGTTTCGGTATACGGCGCTGGAACATTTTAGCTAGGGGACTTTTTACAATTATTAAAATTATTTTTTATTTTAAATAACTTGGATTTGGTGAGGGTAGCCGCATTCTTATCACCCATCACGTGGGAAATATCCAGCGTACGATTCAGAAGTCTGGAAGTGTCTGCTGTTCCATTCATTCGTTCGCCGATCTCGATCATCGGCCAAACGCGCCGACACAGTGATTCATTCAAGGAAATTTTTTGTTTTTTTCTCAAATTCAATTATTTCGGTGGGTTTTTTTCCACAGTCGAACTTTTAATGAAGTCGTCTTTAGGTCTTTACAAATGTTTATTGTTTGTTGAATTCATTGCATCTGCCATTTTACTCGATGGATCTGAATGGCATTGTTGATTTGTCCCCGTCGCCTATCGTCTTTCCATTTTCATTTGTTTTTATTCCTTTTTTGTATATTTCGTTCGTTTTGCGACATTCTCCTCTTTTATATGTACCTAAAAGAGCTCATGTGGCGCAGTGGTTAGAGGTGCTGTGCGTCGCAACGCGAGGTCACTGGTTCGATCTCACGCTCATGGCTCACGAAGCCATCCATCCCTCCGGGGGTCGGTAAATTGGAACCAGACAGGTCTCGGACTTGTCGGGGAGGATAAGCACTGACTTGGTTCAACGGGAGGCCGCCGCGAGTCATGTGTAAAGGCCAGATATGCATTCAATCACCTCAAACGAAGTTAGAAATTGAAGTCGAATGCATGGCGCATCCCTCAGGGATTGATCAACGCCGAGAGCTTTATCCCTTTTTTCCTTTATATGTAGCTAAGAAAAATTGCATGGTGAGCAAGGATACGACTTCAAACGGGAGTCGAACCTGCGTTTTATCCATGCCAGCAACGCGTGATACCACTACACCACAGAGGTACATTTGCGCCACCTCTCATTCTTCAAAATCTCTATGTTAGCCATCAGCCACCAACCTTCAATAGATTTGGTCGGGTATGCGGTTTCGCTCTGAAAACAAAGCTGAGCTGACAACTATTGTGATAAGTAATACTCGAGATTTCCAGTGTTTTAACTGCCTTTTCCGCAGTTACAGCAGTCAACAGTCCTAAGCACGCGTCCCCTGTATGGATGAGACGCCGGTTCGACTCCCGTCTGAGGTCGTATTTTTGCTCACACCGCTCAATCCCCTTAGGGATTATATGAAGCATCATAATACGGCGAAAAAGCAAGAAAGCATTAGAAATTTACTCTTCTTTTAAAAATATCCAGCTGTTTAGAATGTTCATTGCTTCAGGTTTGGGTTTGCTGCTAATCTTTTCCCTTCCTAGGAATGAATTAATTTCATCAAACCGCTTCGAACCATTTTTTGAGCACACTACAGACAATGCAATAAGATGCGACAATTGGCTTAGGTTTCGGGAGTTTTTGCCTCCGACAGTGGTTTTTTTTATTGATTTGTAGAGGCCTATACTGCAGTCAGTATATGGTTTTTTTCACAATCTCGTTTTCTCTCAATAAGAATTGCACTAAAAACAAGCAAAGATCTTCCTGTGGCTTTCATCAGTAAATTTTCCAGTTAATTTTTGAATAATTTACTATGACTAAGCTCATCACAATGTGTGCTCTGATTTGGTTTACTCATCACTCGGACTAATCGATACTCATGTAATTTACCGCTTTAACGATAATGTAATGCTGGAACAAGTGCTGCTTAAATAGAGATGATTGCTACTAACAACCGCCATTCAACTTCAGTTTCCGCCGATAGAGGCCGATGCCGAGAAGAAGTGCGATCCAAACGGACCGGATGCCAACATTCGAACTCCTCTGCTCAGTATTCTTTGCCACATCACTTTTAGGTACATATAAAAGAGGAGAATGTCGCAAAACGACGAAATATACAAAAAAGGAATTAAAAACAAATGAAAATGGAAAGACGATAGGCGACGGGGACAAATCAACAATGCCATTCAGATTCATCGAGTAAAATGGCAGATGCAATGAATTCAACAAACAATAAACATTTGTAAGACCTAAAGAAGACTTCATTAAAAGTTCGACTGTGGAAAAAAACCCACCGAAATAATTGAATTTGGAAAAAAACAAAAAATTTCCTTGAATGAATCACTGTGTCGGCGCGTTTGGCCGGATGATCGAGATCGCGAACGAATGAATGGAACAGCAGACACTTCCAGACTTCTGAATCGTACGCTGGATATTTCCCACGTGATGGGTGATAAGAATGCGGCTACCCTCACCAAATCCAAGTTATTTAAAATAAAAAATAATTTTAATAATTGTAAAAGTCCCCCTAGCTAAAATGTTCCAGCGCCGTATACCGAAACGACCGTAATTTATCGTAATTTGGCGCCACATATTACATAATTTCACAGCATTACCGTGATGCCCACGACGTTTATTTCAAGTAAGTGAGAGATCAAATTTCATGTATCGTCGGGTGTGGGTGATAGATGTCACTGTCCACACAAAGGAATGGATAGCTTAGTGGTAGTGATTACGGTTATCGCAATCGCAGTACTGGTTCAAACCCGAGTAGCTTCCATCGGGCTTCTCCTTCTCCCTGAGAACTATGAAACAACCAGTCCACATAGGCCTATGTCGCTACCTCCAATCCACGTGAATAGGCCCAAGCTCGATTATCTCCGGATACCAGGGAGATTCGCCCATCATTCAACGACATATGTCGACGAAGAACACCAGATACTAGCGGAGAGTTGTGATCACATCATTTTTCAAGTCTAAGCCTAAACCTAAACTCAAAGCCAAGCCTAAGCCTAAATCTAAGTCTAAAGCTAAGCCTAAGTGTGCTCTCGTAATGTCTTAGTCAAAGAATACAATTAAGAAAATACTTTAAAAACTGATGAAGCTGTAATCTCCATGGGGCCACAAGCAACAGCCCTGTAAGCATCGGTGGAACCGGGACAACTTTAAGTGTTTCGTGATTGGTGGAATCGAAAGAACGAATGGAATGCAAGAGATGGTGGCTTCCATGAGAAATGTGAGCAAAGGATAACATTCCCGGCGTTGATCAATACCTAAGAGATATGTCATGTATTCGGCTCCATCAAGCATTGTTTGATGTGAGTGGATCCATATCTGGCCTTCATGATGACTCGCGGCGGCTTACCGATGTACCAAGTCACTGTTGATATCCTCCCAGACATATCTGGAACCAATTCACCGAACCCTGAGGGATGGAAGGCTCAATGGCCTTGAGCGCGGGGTCGAATCATCACAAGTTATATAATACCAAGACGATGAACGAGTGATCCTTACTTTTACCTTCTGCCTCTTCTTTTTTCAAGACAAAGTACGGTGTAAAGTACAGTCGTGCAAATGCTGAGATACACGCAGAACTGGGACCTTGAGATGGCTTCGAACCCGCTACTATTCTTTTCGAAGGCTCACGTGTTACCAGCTGCACCATCAAGGATCTCGATCCGCCCTTCTTCCAGCAATACCAAATAGTGTCATTAGTCTAAGTAACTTGATAGAGCTACATATCACTTTATTTGTCTCGTATCACAATTTTATGTTTCTGTGTGGTCCCAGTAATTCTAGCACTGGTTGGAGATTTGTCTTCCTTATGAATGTTCTAGTACTGGTTGAGCACACCCTTTGCAGTCTTGAAGGTGGCCAGGCTGGGGTCGTCGTCATTGCTTGCCGAAGAGTGTTGTGGGGAGGGCATCAACCCCTCGTTGAGCCATGCCAAGCATAACTAGTCATTCAGCCACACTTCCCCTTTTCCCCCAGGGTCACAAGTGGAAATTCTAGAAAACTAACTAGACAAGCTGTAGACTAGTTTGGTCTTCTATATCCTATATGCACTCCAAAAAAGTGAATTTATTCTTGGAACCAGTACAACAGAAAAATTATCCAAGAAAGAGATATATTACGTTCAAAGATGGAAGGAAAGAGGTGGCATGAATATTGTGCCTTCACTAAAGACCTTACCCGAGATTTTAATTACAGGGATCCTTGATAACTTCGTACTAGCTCATAAAGAAAAGCAGAATATTGATCATGTAGATCGCGGTTCTATTAAAATCGAATTTGAAGGGCACGGACGGATGTTTGACAATACCAATCTAGGGATTTAAATAGACAGACAATGTACAATGAAATGTATTGCATTGGATATGGATTTCTCATAGTAATATTAATGTCGTTGGAAATATCCACAAAAACTGGCATAGTGACAATGCACTTTTATTCCAACAACAACACACACCACCCTCACTGACATCGGAAAAGAAAAATAGAGGTTGGTTATGTTCTGGTGGTTTGTGCCACCATTGTGACAAGTTGATTGAGTATTCGGTCTAAACAATCCGATTCTCCATTGGCAACATATTTACCAATGAAAATAGGTTTTGCACCGCTTTAGCAACGCTCCAAATAAAGCATCATGCGGAACTTTTCTGGCTAGAAAGAACCTAAGAGTGTAATTAAATTATCGAAATCACATTACAATCTGCAAAAGCTTTTTATTTTATCTCTTTCATAACAAGGTCATGACTCTGTAATTATATATCTAAAAATGCTGAGTGGCATTCAATGCATTCGATCCCAATGGTTGTTGAAGCGAAGCTTCACCAGGACCGGTGGCCGTGATAGTGGTTTCGGTGGCTTCAGTTGTAGCACAGGCCCATTGAATGAGTGGAGCTTGGGTCCAACCCTAGTATAAGCCCACATACTTTGCATATCACTCATCATTACTGGAACCATATTGCTTGCTTACTTTCACAAACATTTGCAATGATATTCACTGATCTGTATAGACGTATTAGGTTGGTGCAAAAGTAATGGCGGTTTGTGCATTCTTAGATTCTGCCGTTCGATATCGGAATGAACTCATAGATAAATGTAGTTGAATTATATATCGATCTGAAATACATTCCTTGCTTTATCTTCTATTAATAACAACTTTGTACTTGTTTTTTATTTTACATTTATTTCAATCTATGGGAAGAATGTTGATTGGGCAAAGGAATGGTGGTCTCAGTCCTTGAATACAAAATGAGTCGTAAAGCAGTAAAGACCACTCTCAACATCAACACTGTATTTGGCCCATAAACTGCTCAGCAAAGTCGACCTCTAACCAATGTGCGGTCGGCAAACAGAACGTAAAGACACGTCCACACAGTCGACACTGGCAGCCACAAGTGGACCGTCATTTTTTCATTCTCAAGTATTCTCGTGCGCTGGCAGAGAGAGAGGTATCTCCATCGCTCCCGCTCCCGTCCACCATGTTCACCATAGTCATCACCTTGGTTTACCGGTTTAGCTTACATTATATTGTAACTGAATTGCATTCTCTTAGTAGTTAAAGCGATCCTTACAATAGCCTTTTCTTCATCACTACATCGTTCACTGATCCTTGCTGAAAACCGTTCATTGTACAACTTCTTCTTCAGTCAGTTCTTCGTTCATTAGGTTACTCATTTCCTCAAGGTGAATGTTCTAGTTACTTCAGTGTTCTATTCAGTTGTGGTAGAATGTGAGAACAAATCGATTACCTATCACTGCCGTTAGTCGGTAGGTCGGGGCGCCGGGTATCATCCGTGTAAACTTAGTCACTTCTATCCTTATCACCACCTAATGCGAGCACATTCTAGGTTTACGTCGAGTGGTCTCTGCTCATCGTAGCGCACTTCTTAGTGCCTTTATGTGATATGTGATGGAAGTTCTCAATAGTAGGCAGAATTCAAATAAAAGCCTAGTTTATTTCAAATACTTCTCAGTTGAGCTCTCGTCTTAGCCAACAGTTGCAAATGCAGAGACGAAGTTCGATCTAAACGGATTCGCTGCCAACATTCGAACTGCTCTATTCACCACACTTTGCCACAACTCTCTCGACGAATTCGCCATTATGATATTTGTAGTCTACAAAGACT